GAATATCGTAGAATATAATTATTAGATACTCCCTCGCTCCGATAGGCGAATCTCCGGTAGTTCTAATACACCGGCTAGATTGTTTTACGTGCCTATAGACTTAGTGGAATAGCTTAATTCTTTCGCCGTCGCCGTTCTATACCAGTAGCTCGCCCTCCAGGATAGACCACTTCTAGATCTTGTAGTCTGTTGTATCAAGCTCGAGGCTGTCCCGCAGTGCCTAATAGATTCTAATACGATTATTTATCGAGTCTCTTCCACTCTTAGAGAAAATTCGAATATTAGCTCCTGGTTTTTAAAGGTCGATATAAATTTGGTAATATTCTCTGTTATACTTTCTCTCCACGCTTATCCGTCTCGACCCAGCTAATTAGCAATAGTGTCTAATGCTCCTTGCCTTTTTATATACCGTACGCCCAGTTATTATACCAACCTACGGCGTAAATTCTCTTCTAGTGACTTCCAAAAGCTTGCTATAAGCCATAGAAGGCTGGATAGATATGTTCCGAATACTCGGCTTGTCGAGGAGCCCCATAGTTACTAGGATCGAATTCTAGGAGCGTAAGAGACCAGGCAGGAGAACATGAAATCTGCTCATGACTAGCGTCTCTAGAACGCAGGCTGGGCTATAATTTTTTAATAGTATCCGAATCGTCCATTTGGCCTCGGAGCTTCGTAGAACTCGGAATACTTTCGTGAGCAAGGTATCTACGGTTATTAATCGGCTATGCTTTAATATACCTCTTTGTCGAAGGCTATCGGCAGAAAAAGGTGATAATGCTGTAACCTGGTCGAGAATATCGTCGAGCTCCTCTAGAGATACCTCTTGGCTGGGTCTAGATTCATAGTCTATTATAGCCATCACGCGCTCGACTGAGCTTACAAAGTCTAAACCGCTAACGGTTCTGTATCTTTGGAGATGCTCTATTCGGGATAGTCTAAGGCATTATGCGTGTTATATAACCTTCTCTAACAGGCGTTCCTGCAGACCAAACACTCGATCTGGCCTCCGTTCGGGGAAGAGGTATGACAAGAATGCCACTGCTAGTGGGCCTCGCCGAGGAATAGCTTCATTGTGCTTGTTGAACCAGGCTTAGATAATAAGCGTTACGCGCCCTTGGCTATTGCTAATCCTCGATGACTTCTTAGCGTTGCACTCGAGGCTCTCGAAAAGGTCAGAGAGCAATCTGAACGGGAACGGCATGATTGAAAGCGACAGAAGAAATTCTGATGATATTGAAAAGACGAAAGGGGGAATGTCAGCTTCTATACTACATAGATCTAGGTAGACTACTCATTAATGAATCAAAAGGCTCTCTTCCTTGGCAGTCCTTATCGCCGAACGTCCTTATCGCCGAACGTTTTGAGATGAAGAGTACCCATGAATCGACCATCGAAAGGCTCCACGTTTACTAGGACCATCGAGTGCCCATATGCCACTGTGAGCTAGTATGCCGGATGAGGGAGGGCCCTGATTCGACCATACGCTGGCCGAGATTCACTGTTGCGACGACTAACAGCAGCGTTCTAGGCGGCTTCTCACATATAAAGGCTCTCAACAAGCCCAGCCCTGCTGGTCTTCCACTTCCTGAGCCTGATATACTGACATGAATCTAGATGCCACAGCGAGGAGGGTTGAAAGTCGGGTTCGAGGGGTGTATGCGATGATCCAGGGCTTGGAGACGCATACAGCGGGTGCCGTTCCATGATGACGTGGTCAAGCAGCCGGTATTGGAACGGTAACCGGGGGGTGCGGTGCTTTGTGGTGGAGGGCCACACCTGGGGGAGGGGGTGAGTGCGTGGTGTTGGGTGGCTTATTGACGTAGCTTGACGGAGAGAACGAAAGGAAACGAGATTCACTCGCTCTCGGTCGCCATCCTGAGCATGTAAACTCAGTGCAGATACCGCAGACGCTCGTCTCAGCCTCCTACTCATCATGGTGATGGACCCCGATGCCGCATGAAGCACGGCTGGGCGACTATAGTCGCGTCATCCGACGGGAAAGTGACGTTCTCGGCTCGAGCTGGCCTCGGCCTCAATCTTCTCCGTCCTGTGTCTTTAGGTGAAGGATAATCGCTTTCTATTTCTGTGGGTGCTCCGTGTTATGCGGAGACGGAATATTAGGAAATCTGCCCGAGGATGTATATTGAAACTCTTCAACTATCACGGGTACGACCACAGGTTGTAAGAGGATGCCGTTATGCCGTTTGCCCCTTGCGGGTGGATGTTTAAGCATCATCATGCGTCCCCCCTCCTTCTGTATCTTCCTCCCCTTGCAATATTATCATACAACATCACGATATATCCCCCTGCATCCTCCTCCCACATATGCATTGCTGTTGATATCAACAGCAAGTGGACTATATGCCACCCACTCGTGCAGCATCAAGCCATTAAAATGATAAGTAGGTGGCTAAGTTGTGCTGCACTGCGTCTACATTGTCAATAACTGAGTGCACAGAGACGCAGGGCTAGCCTATTTCAAAGTGTATAAAGATATGGGCCGAGAACAGGAACAGGCGACAAGGCTCGAGGAAGCTGAAACGGTGCTGAATGGTGGAGACTTGTGTATACGACGGAGAGAGCGTCCGGCGACATTGCCGATCCGAAGCGCTATTATAGAACAGATACTTTATTAGGAAACCCGAAGACGTTTTATATCTCCAACCTCCACTCGAGATAGTCCTCGTTTCGGGGCCCCACGTCGGTCCTTAGCCGATCGGCATTTTAGGGTACAACGGTGGAAGTTAATAACGAGAGCACGCTTCAGCTCTCTACTCTATAGAACGTTATCTCGCCTGAGGTCTTCGTGTCTTACCCCAAGAGCTTTTATTTCCTTGTTCGATTTGTGGATCTCGTAGCGAAGCTCTGGCGTTATCTCTATCGTCGCTATGCTTTCACCTCCCTATCCCATCACGAGTATGTGGCGAATTGGTCCAGCGCTATGAAGAAAGTAGATTTTCGCCAAGTCTATTATTCCCAAGAAGACAGGCACGGCAGATCCCTGAGCTATGCGTAGGATCTTATATACCTACGCCTCACGAGAAACTTCTTTCCATAACCCCGAAGTAGTGCCTTTGCCGACGACCGTATAACCATAAGTCGTATAAGTCAGTTTAAACGGGGCACCGTAGGAACCACAGCCGCCGAGCGGAATATAGCGATCAATAACGTCGTCCAATTGACTCTTGAGTGAAACCACTAAATCTTCAGCCGAGATAGGATACTAAGTTCGATCTTCTTGGCCCTGGCGATGTTGGTCCACGTTCGGACATAGCTCATCTAGACAATTCCCCGTCTGCAGGCCGAGTAGATATCGTTATGTGTAAAATTGTGCAGCACGGCGTCGCGTTTGGTCTTCTTGGTCATGCCCGGACTCTTGCTGGCGACCTGTTTGTCGACTGGACGGTGAAGCGGTAACTTGACTGATCCTCCGCTTTTGGCCAGCTGTTTGATTCGTATCAGACCCGGAGGAGTTAGGAGATCGCGAGCGCTGTCGATTCTCCGAAGGTGCACAGCCGGCCTTGGATCGTCTAGACACTCGGCGGCCCTCTGAAGGCGACGGCAGCGGAGATGACGGTGGTGCATAGGATAAACCCGACGCTGGACTCGGAAACTCAGGAGCCGTGCTATCGGAGTGAGGGATCTGCTGCAATTTATCCCTTGGGATCTGCGAACGCGTATACTCAAAGCTTGTCTCCCACGTATGAAGATCGGGTCGCGAGCTATTTCTCCACTCTTGCTCCCGAGCGGGTGAACGGAATGCCATCAGACACAGGCATAGTACCCTTGTAACAGAAGTCTTCGATAGCTGAGAAAATGAATCGGCTGCCGTGTCTACTTCGGTGTGGGGATCACAGAGAAAGTAATAGAGTGTGCTCCGTTTATCTTATGGAACGTAAAGAAAGATACGGGCGATTCCGTTTGTGAGATAGGAATATTCGAGTCCTTCTTGAATTATCATATAATATTCTTAGACAACAGCAGAGCAGATAAGCCGCTCTGTATTATACTGCAGCTTCGTATTCTAGTCGGTGGGTATTTTATTCGATCTGACTATTTTCTTCCATAGGTCCATCGGTTATAGTCTATTGCGAAGCGCTACGACAGGTAGCTTATAGGCGGGCTTATACTCGACAGTCGTCAGGATGGTGTGTGAGTTACCGTCGATCCGGTGAATGCAAAACTGATCTAGACGCGGATAGGGTATGCTTAACGGCTGGTTTGCGTCCGCTTTAAAGTCGTCGTCCCTGCTTAAAGAATTTGTGTGATTGCTGAAATGAACTCTATCACCGAGCCGGAACTCGTCACGTGCCGCTGGTAGTTTGCATAACTCGGCTATTATATCGTGAACGTGGTCTTCCACTCTAAACCGCTCGTAGGCCTCGAGATCTTGCTCACTGCTGAGGGGCCTGCGGGTAAATCGACGGCTTAGTCCTCCTAATTCCGGTAGCGAAGCAAATAAGCGTGGTGCGTCCCCTGAGTCCGACTGTAAATATTGGTAGACAGAGCTGTAGACTCCCAGCAGCTGCTCTGGGCAGTCGTCCCAGTGTTCTAATCGAGTCGGGCAGTATTTCCCTGTGGGAAGGGGTATTTTGCCGGAGGTCGAGCGCGAAGGTGTCTCGACTCTTAACTGACGGGAGAGAAGTTCGTGGCAATGGTGTAGAAGCTCTGAGAAAGACGTCTGTCGGTTGCGCTCTTCTGCTTGACGCCTTCCCTCTGCTTCCTCCTTCTCGCGTTCTTCAGCTTGCTTTCGTCTCTCCTCTGCATGGAGATAGAGTTCCTTATAGTTTGGAGAGCTGTTGTCAGCCATGGATTTATTCGAATTGGGAAGTTAGGCCATGACGCGAAAGAACGAGGACCTGCCAACTTGATCAGCTCTGCTGTCAAACGGCACGGAATATTATTTCTTCCGAGAATCAGCGGGGGCATCACGCCGTATTATGGAGACCGATCAAACCGAGGTATGGCGACGCGGCAGGCTTGCACGACGCGGTGATTCAAATCACCGTTTCCCCGCGTCGCAGCTGCTGAGCAGCTTGTTTCAAATCCTCCGACATCCTCACGTTGTTGTTGGGCACTACGATCATGGTGTTGACGCTCGACGAAGGAACGGTGTTGAAGCATTCATACGGTCGTACGAAGTCGAGATCCACAGATAGAAGCGCTTTCTCTTCTCTCTTCAATTTTTTCGCAGCTGACGTCACGGCAGCCGGATCACTTGCATCATCTTGTGCCACGTCGTGAAAGTGACCGTCCGAGAACTCTTTGAACAGGATCTGAAGGCGTGTCGGCTGCGACTCCTCCTGAATTTTCTCCACTAGCATACTGTGCTCTATGGTGTGGCACGCGTCGTCGCTCGACTCTTCATATGGCGAAGAAAAAGAAACAACTCGGGCACATTACTCATTCCTCTATATATATGGAGAACGACTCCGACATGATGGCGGTATTTTTAGACCATACCCAGGACAGCAAAGGGTCGATGAAAACGGGCCGTATCGACGCGATCGGCACGGCGATCAGCAAGTGCGGTCATTCATCTCAGCTTGATGTGATAGCATTCGCTAACTCCGTTAGGGCGTTCAACAACCGCGGTCTTTCTGATGTGAACATCCATCTTGGCACGTTTGAGCTACCCGCTCATAGCCTTGTTTTGGTAGCTCAAAGTAAATACTTCGAGAAGATTCTCGGCAGTGAATGTAAAGAGGGTCTCTCGAGGGAGATCACATTCTCCGAAGGAAGTCTGCAGGCGTATTGGAGGGTTTTTGAGTATCTTTATACTAGAGAGTATTCTAAAGACCCTTATCCAACGCTCGATACACAAGGTAAGACTGAGAGTTCCAGCACTATACTCGGATTTGGCTAACTCGCAATCAGATAATGATGAGCTATCAAAAGATCTCCGTGTCTATGGCTTAGCGGAATATTTCGGTATCAATAGTCTCAAAGAGCACGCATTGAGCAGATTTAAAAGCAAAATTTCGCGTCTTTGGATCAGCGAGATTTTCCCAAATTGTATTCGAGAAGTGTATGGGTCAACGAGTGACCCCGACTGTGGCATGAGGAAAGCGGTAGTGGAAGTCACGCGGGAAAACCGGGGGGAGCTATAGGAAAAGAAGGCGTATCGCGAGCTTATTTATGAAGGAGGCGATTTTGCAGTCGACTTGATGGATAAGCTAATGTAGGCGCAAATAAAAGGTAAAATGTCACAAACACGCCTACACAACATGTCTGCCATGATACGTTGATTCCATCTGGCCGTACGTGAGAAACTATTCCTATGTCGATTCTATTCGGACTTTCTCTGCCTCTTCGGCGGATGTGCTTAGCTGGCGGCTGCCTTACGTTTGACTCCCTCTATCCGATCAAGCCTGTTGCCGATAATACTGAACTGGCGAGAGAACCCGGCTATATCCGAAAAGGGAGGTTGATCTAAGGAAATCTTGGCCTTCCCACCGATGTTGCCGCTCGTACTGAGTTCGTCATCGGTCTCGGCCATGGTGCCTGGAAGTATTGCGACCTCCTCGGCATGATTTTTGCACCTGGCGAACTGTAGAAGTTCTTGGGGCCCCTTAAAAGACTTTCCCAGGATTTCCGGGGCTAGAGGTAGAGTACTAATCTTTGCCAGGTTATGTTAGCTTCCTCGCCGTCAATATAATGGCGTTTGAACCTGATCGTGGGCTTACTTCTTCGAAGACTTCGTCGTCAAGCGTAATACCGCCGTCGCCCACGCCAACCTCATCGTGAAGCATATCTCCCACGTCGTTATGGATCCCTTTCGTGGGGGTGTTTTTGCTCGTTAGGCTGGTGTTTTGTCGGGGATCCGAGTTGGTGTAAGAGTTTCGCCCATCACCTATAGGGTTGTGTTGGCGCTCAGAGGCCCGGTTACTGAAAACACTGTCGTCTTGATTGCGCTCGGTATACTCCTTATCGACTGGAGCATCTTTGGGTTTGCTCCCAGTGCCCCGTTCAGTTTCTCTGTCGTCGATGATAATAAAGACGCCACCCTTGCTAGGAGCGTCGAGCAAAGACTCAGGGGGAGCCTGCCGGAGAGTCCCCATGTTTTGAGAAAGATGGTTGAAGGAGAGGATGAGGGAGGAATGGCGAGGATGGCGGCATATGTCCTTATGTACACCCAGATGCACTGGCTCTGCCCCCCTGATGGCTATTGCTTCCCCAAGGATAACATCGTCACAGTCAGCAGTGAGACTATTCACCAGGGGAGCGAACGGAACTTGGCCGACATGGAGCAAGCGACTCTAGGTTAACATGCCGACCTACAAGGAGACTATCAGTTTGGTTTGAGGGGGCCTACCCCGTAGGACGACTAACCTCACGCGAAACACTTCACCCACGCGTTGGGAACGTTTCTATTAGTCAAATACAGTCGATCATGCCATTTCCTACAACTGGCTCTCCACCACAGGGACTGCCTCAGCCCTTCCTAAGGGAGCCCAGACGTAGCGGGTACATTGGACTTGCTGAACCGCACAGATCCAACAACGGGACTTTCGCGCCTATAGAAACACAGTGTGGGCCCCAGAAGGAATTCTTCAATGGACCGCAATATGAGTTAATGGCAGGGTAAAGGACGTCTAGGTCCTATGCACATAGTGCGCCGGCTGGGCTGAAATGATAGGCTGGTATCTTCTAGGACAGTGAAGCCAAAAGGTCGCATTCGAAAAAGAGGAGTCGCATGATCTGCATCGTGAGCAAGGTACACAAGACGACATTCATCAGCTCGCGAGATTTCGCCAGCCTCGGGAGCTATGTTAGGGTTACTTGATTCAACAAATGACGCGATGGCTTTTCCCATACGCAAACTCACCAGGGACGTCACTGCAGACACAGTCATGTTATCCCGCTTCGCCAGCATCCTAAGCTCGTCCGTGATCAAGCAGCCCCCTATGATCCGTGCTGCTATGCTGAGGTATCCCATGTTCGCATGGAACAACGTCAAGCTCGGGATCATGGTTGCATGGAGTATCTATCGGCCACAAATGGACGGCATGGCCCAATGTCCATCTGCATGCCTGCGATTTTTCGCAGGCAATGCTCCTGCCACTAGAAGAAGAAGAAGAATATCTATCAAGCGGCTTACAGATGGTCCGTGTGCGCTGATCATGACTAATCTCGGACCCTACCGGTCCGTGGCTCTAAGTATACCCAGGGAAAAACCGCCTAGTAGGCGGTAAAAACCCCTCGTTGTTTGATCTAATAGCCTAGAATTGACTCTCTGGCTAGAGCCTCCGTTGGGGAAAAGTAGGCGCGTCGTGCGCGAGGAACGGAGTTGTGTGGCGGTGGCAGCCGTTTGTCGTGGACGCTACAGCTGACCGTGCTCCACCGTTTGTTGGAGCTGTAGCGCCAGGCGATACTCCCGTAGTCGTCCCGTGGCCAGGAGCCACTTGATGATACGGGGGTATCGTTTGGGGTCTTCCAGGGCTTTGTTTAAGTCTCCTCTTCCTCGTAGGGGAGGGAGGTTAGTCCTGTCGTCTTCTAATTCGTAGTCTAGGATGATATAAGCTGCTGTTTCCTGGACCGCCCGTCCTCCTCTGCACGCGCACCATGGCTCGACGTCCGGGACTTATATCCGTCTTAGGTATTGCCTGAGACCGATATGCCCGGACCTCGCTTATATAAGGCACGACGATTCGTGTTTTGTGAGCTGTTCCCAGATCTTGCGTGCGGTCTTCTATCGTACGCCGACTCTCGGTTTCCGCTGGTGCACTCCTTCACGTAGCTAGAGGTCTCTCTATCGTTCCTCTGTCTTCTTCTTCGCGGTTGTGCCTGCCGTCTAGCTTGCCCACTGTCTCATAGGATCTAGTAGTTAGACTCCGCGTTCTCGCCCCCTTCCCCCTCTCTGTGCCCTCGCAATCAGCCTCGTGATCCTATCCCATATCTTAGGCCAGACGCCGCCTTCCCCCGTGGCTCTCGCCTCGAACGCGGCCGCTCTCTCGGCTAGGATAAGATTGATCGGTTTGTAGTGGGCTTCGGCTTCGAGAACGTTGACTGGCGTTGAGCGGTATGAACCTGTCATAACGCGTAGATACTTATTCTGTTCCTTGCCTAGCTGGAGGACGATGCCGGAGCCCCTTCCCTACTTCCCTCCGAGGGTGTTCTCTATCGTTATAAAGGTGGATGCTGCGTATGTTAATACGCTTCGGATCACCGAGACGTAGACGTCTCTAGCCTTAAGGAGGGACGGTCCCTATGTCTTTGCCGCGATTCGAGTCAGTGCAAACCGCTATGTCTTTAGTTTGGCCAGTATCTGGTTCTTATGGGCGATAAAGTTCAGCCTTCGGTCTAGGTATACCCCTAGGAACCTGGTCTCTTCCGCCGGCTTGATCAGGTTGTTGTCTAGGGTCCACGCCTGGTTGTTACCTGCCCTTGTCTTAACAAAGTGCATTAGCTGGCTCTTCTGCGGTTCGAATATCATACCGCGTTCTCTTCTCCGGTCTCTGCATATCTCCCATCCCCGTTGTAGAGCGGAGCAGCAATCTTCTGTCCTTTTCCCTACTGTTAGGAGGTTTGTGTCGTCCGCGAACCCTACCGTTCCTACTCCTTCGATATCTCTTAGCCTCTGGAAGAGTGGGGTGCTAAAGAGGATGAATAGGAGAGGGGATAGGGGCGAGCCCTGTGGCACGCCGGCCGGCACTTTCAGTGGCTCCGACTCCCAGTCGTCAAAGGTCAGAGTCGCCGTTCGGCCCGTTAGGAAGGATATCACCCATCGGGTCACCCACCTCGGCCATCCCGGGTCCTCCAGCGTTGTGACCAACCATCCGTGGTGGACGCGGTCGAAAGCGCCCTTGAGGTCTAGCTGCAGCATCGAGCAGGTGAGCCGCTTTTCCCACGCGGCCCGCACCGTCTCTGTAACGAATCTAGCCACCAGCTCCGTTGACCTCCCCGCCCTATTCCGTATCTATTCGGGCGGGAGGATGTTCGATTCCTCAGCTATCTATGTCATCTTCCTTGCCACGATAGCTTCCACGACTTTCCCCACGCAGCTTAGAAGAGAAATGGGTCTCCACCCCCTGGTGATCTAAGCTAGCGCGCTGTTTTTCCTGGCTTTCGGAGTACTACCACTCTGGCTTCTTTAAAAGCTTTAGGGTAGTGTCCGAGGGTCAGGCTGGCTATAGCGATTCGTCGAAGTCCCTCGACTAGTAGGGGGCCATAGGCACGAAGGAACCCATTAGGTAGTCCGTCGGTGCCTGATGCTTTCCACTGGCCCGGACGGTGGAGGGCTGTCTTTACGTCCTATGTCGTTACCTCCGGTATTTTTCCTCTTATCTATCCGGGCCTGGAGTTCGGCCTCGGTTCGCTTTCTGGCTGTATTTCCGGGAAGAACCTCTCCGAGAGGGCGCGTGCCTTTTCTTCCTTTGTGCGTGCCCAGCTTCCGTTCTCCTCGGTTTGGAGATCAGGGATCTGCGGTCGCTCCGTCTGCTCGTGGCTGCGTAGCTTTTCCCATCGCGCCAAGTTCCAGAGGACACGGCCGTCCTTTGTCGCTCTAGCGGTGGTTTCTCTCCAATATCTCGTGCCCTCTTGTTAGAGTGTCCGCTTCTGGTTGGCTCTTGCTTCCCGCAGGAACTCCGCCGAGGCGCCGGTTCTTTATGCCCGGTGGTAGCGCTCGGCCTGGCGTAGGCGTCTAGTCGAGTCTACCGTCCGGTGGCTCTAGAAGGCTGAGCTCTTCCGGCCGTACCTTTTCTTCGACGTCGGGACGGTCTCCTCTCGTGTAGCCGTGAGTTGTCTGACTAGTCCTTCTGTCGCTGCGTCAAGCTGTCCTGGGGTTATTGCCCATCCCGTGGTTAGGGATAGAGCTCTACTCGCTACCTCATCGGGGTTTATTTCCTTCCAGCAGTATCGTTCCGCATCGGCCTCTCTCTGTCCTTCCCCTAGCTCTATCGTTATGGCTTACGGGATATGGTCGGACCCGCTCCACTCCCACGCGCCTTAGAATCGTCCGGGCATGCCCACTGTGCACCATAGCAGATCGATAGCGGAGGACCTATACCCCTGACGCTGCCAGGTTGGTTCGCCCGGTGTAGTAAGGAGTGATAGGTTCCACTTCTCAGCTAGCTCTAGGAGGGCTCCCGCGCCTTGGTCGTATCGGTCCTCAATATCCCACAGGGGGTGGTGGAGGTTAAAGTCTCCGGCGACGACGGCCCGTTCGGGTTTCTCCTATTCCACCATGTCCAGGAGTGGTGTTTGCCAAGATCGGGCATAGGCTGGGGAGTACACAGAGTACACCCGAGTGCCTTCGATGTCGACTGCCACTATGTCCTTCGTCTCGTGTAGTGGTCTTTATTTTGTTCTATTCCACCTCTTATGAATCCAGATCGCCACACGGCCACCTCCCCACACCTTCCAGAACTTACTATTAGGCCCGCCTCCTAGCGTGTCCTTTATACCTCGTATAATAGGAACTTCCTGGCCCAGGATAACGTCTACTCTATCATCCTCTAGAGCTTCTATCCCATAGGGATGTCGCTTAGCCATATTCCACGTGGCGATATAAAGTCTCCTCATTGCGTGGTATAGAGTGCGTCCACTAACTTTCCTTGGATTTCGGCTGCCTTTGGTGTTAGCCTCCGTTCTTCTTTCTTTCGTAGTCTCCTAATGCCCGCGGTATCGGGCTTCAGGGTCGGATCTAGCTCTTCCCCATGGCGCTTCCTGGGCTGAATGTTCCGTATGGCCGGCGTGTCGTCTGGCGCCTCGGCGTCCCCCTCTAATCGCTCTTCGTTTCGCTCTTCCATGATAACCTAGGGCGTGTCCGCGGTTTCTAGAGTCTGGTCTAGGCTGGCTCGGCTCCTCTGTGATGGGCGCGACAAGGGCTGATGTGGCCGCTAGCTTTCCGTAGGACCTAGGTCTGTCCCTGAAAGCCCGCTCCGCCGCTCTCCTATGCTCCATGGCCACTGGGCACGCCTGCCACGCGATCGCAGGGTGTGGCCCCTGGCAGTTGGCACACTTTGGACTGGCGCACTCGCCGGTGTGCTTCCCTTTGCCGTATCGTCCGCACCGGGCCGCCTGGCGATATTGGCGTCTAATATGGCCCTAGCTCAGATAGTTATAACACTGCCGGGCTTTACTCTCTGCGCAAAAGGGCTCGCATCGGAAGGTATGGCCTCCTAGTTCGATTCCCTCTCTAACCACACGCGAGGCTATTTCCGTGTTTAGGACGGTGCATAGGACCGTACCGTATCCGTCTCTCCCTAGGCGCTTTGTGTGGTGTAAGGCATTACACCGCGAGTGAAGTTCCTCTCTGGTGATCTCCTCTAGCTTATTGGCCGGGATGCTCTTAATAAGGACTCGGAGTCCTCCTTTGATCACCTTGGCCTTGCGGCCATATACCACTTCAATCGATTCTCGGTCTTTAAGGATATCGCCCTCCTTCCCCGCTGCCACGCGGAGGGCTGAATCGCCGTTTGGTAGGCGCCGAGCGCTCTCTACCGCTTTCCCGACCTCCTTGTGAAGCGCCTGCAGGGTATCCTTGCCACTGCGGCGCTTTAGCTCCTTTTCCTCTTCATCGATAGCGACGATAATCTCCGTTTTTCTGATAGTGTGCTTGGCCACTTGTTTCTTTGAGGCTGCGATAGCGGCCCACGTCTTCGGGCGCGTCTTCAACGCGTCTATCTCCTTCTGTAGGCGCTGAATGGTCTGCGTCATCCCCCATAAAAGTGCTATGGTACTTCCCCCAACGGAGGCCGCAGCCTGGAACTCTTCTAGTGTCCATTTTTCCCAGTCTTTAGTCTGGGGAGTGGCGTTGTGTGTCCTGTTCGACGGGGCGGGGTCACGTGGTTCTGAATCCTGTCAGACCGAAAGGGGTCGGGGGAGCCCATAGGTGCACCCGTACGGGTGCATGTAAGGCTTACGTAACGGTGCACCCGGGCGGGTGCAAATAAGTGTCACGTGATGCGCCTCATGCAGCGCGTGTAAGCTATGAAAGCCTCGCCTCCGTGTAAATCGGCTACGCTACGAGGCTAGATAGCTACTTAGTCCCATAATAACATCAACTGCCTTACAGTCTTTTACTTATATATGCACTCGACTATATTCTTCAGGTGCCTCTATATAATACCTGTTGCTCTTCGCTATCTCTCTCAGCTGCCTCCTAGACATCCTTCATGCCTCGTCTACGTGAAAACCGCCCAGTAGCTATCTCTTCTGCCATCTGAGCTTCAACCTGCGCTTCAACCCGGGCTTCCTCTGCTGTAGTCCAATCTAGATATGCCATCTGTTCCTCCTTAGTCCAGTCCCGGATAGGTCTCTTCTCTGTGCATCGTGTGCCCATTTGCTTGTAATCTAAACACCAGTCATAGTCCTTCTTGCTATATCGCTGAGGTAGTCCTATTGCATTTCGATATTGCTGGTTCGTCTTTAAATCACCTCGAGGCAGCGTCTTGTACCAAGCCTCTCGCGCTGTAATATATCGTTGATATATAGCACAAGGGTGATAGTGCGGTACCTCCGGCTCCAGCTCTGGCCTCGGCGCTGGTGATGAGGATAGCAAAACGACACTCGGTGAGAGTGGCTGTAGCTGCGCAGCTGGGAGCGAATCTGGCGGCACTACTGGCTGCACAGTTGAACCTATTGCCGGCGCCGGCGCCGGCGATGTAAGTGGATTATGATCCAGTGCCACCGCTGGTACTGAGGGTAGTTCTAGCGCTGGTGTTGACACTGACATCAGTTCCGGCGGCCGAGCTGAAGCTGAAGCTGAAGTCTCTTGAGATAGCGCTGCGGTTGATGATGGTATGAGATCCGCATATCGTAACGCACACGCCTTTGAGCTTCTTGTGTGGCCTTACTGATTGCATCTTGTGCATGTTGGCTTTGCTTTGGTCCTTTTTCTTGTTTGTGACGCTTGCTCAACAGCCTCAAATGCGCAGGGTTCACGCCGAGTGCTTGTTCTTGGCAATATTGAGCTAGCTGCAACCCGGTCGAATAGCCGGCGTGGCTCTATCAGCAAGTGAGGAGATCCCTCGCGATGAAGGTGCCAATGCGTATGGAAGTGCCGTAATCGAAGAGGCATCTCCTGTTGACGAAGAGTTTGGAGCGTATGAGCGCATGGAAGACCGTTCGATAACTCAAATGCTCCTGTACAACTAGGGAGAATGTCATTGAGGGATCGTTTCCGCTGCTCTTCGACTCTACGCAGCGCTTCGTGAGATACCCATCCACGTATATTAGCGTATAGCGGCCCAGTTAGCTCAAGAGGCGTGCGTATCCTCTGTTTGGCCTGATTCGCGTGCAGCTCGGCGATCTGATTGAGCAACGCACGCTTGATAGACCTCCAGGCCTCGAAGAGGTCTAATTAACTGGTCTTTAGATATTGCTTGATAAGCTCGTGGATACCCTCACTCCGGGAGGTGACAACATTGCCGAAGTGAGGGTATCTATCAACCCAAGCTTTCACAAGCCTCTCTTTATAGAGATCAAGCCAGGTCTCTATAATATAACCAACCTCTCTGAGATAGACTGGGACGTAGCGCTGTTTGAGCTTATTAAGATTATCTTCAAACATATCCTCAGTGCTTGAAGCCATAATCTGATGCCAATGCTGATAGAACTCTTGCCACTTCTCAAGGCCTTGAGCTTGAGGCTGATCGTCATCGCCACGGGTGAAGCTTGCGAGGTAGTGACGAGTAACAGCCTTATTTGCATGCCAGAGGCATAAAAGAGATACCGCTTATGGGAAGCATTGCGATACTGCATTCATACAGGCAAGGCAACGATCTATAAGTATAACAGATGGAAGTCTCGCGCCACAGCTCTCGTACATTTGCCGTAGCCGATCAAGTGCCCAAGTATAGTCGACTTCATCCTCGCCACTAA